CCCCAAGAACAAGGTATGTGAACTTTGCGCCATCTGGTTTTATCTTGCCTTTGAAAGAATACTAACTTGAGCTTTGGAGCAATCTCACCGGGTTCCTCCCCGGAGACTCCCCACTTTCTTCTCTGTTTCAGGCCCCCTGTTGCTCCAGTCAGAGGCAAGGACGTTGACAGCTAGGACCGGCCGAATTGCGCACCATCAAAGTCCAAACCAATTTGATAAATATTTTGGATTGGATTGGTCCAATTGAATGCCTTATTGGACCGTCCAACTTGTTCAAATTGGTTTTAATTTAGTTTGTCCAACCAAAACCTAGTCCATTGACACCCCTACTAATATCTTTTGTCAATGCACTAAATATTGGTCCAACTTGACCCAATCCGATATAAATGATAAATCCATTATAGGTGGAGTAGGTCTAATCCAATTCAATAAATACTTTGGACCATTAACTCTAGACTAGTCCAATATAAGTCCTATTAGACTTTCCAACCTATTCAAATTGGTTTTGATTTGAATAGGTCCAACCCAAACCCATTCCACTAACACCCCTATTTCTAAATCACTTTTATATGAAACCATACCTACACCATAGGATTCTTCAAACTCATTCAATTGAAAAATTTTCGAACCCATGCCTATGAACAATGAGAAAGTTGCCTCCCCTAGGTTAGGGTTTTAAGCTGTAATTAGACATGTTCATGTGATGGGTAACCCAATGGCCTAGCCTGGCCTGGCCCCTAGACGGGCTTGGACATGTATTTTAGCCCACAGGCTTGACCTCGGGCCTAAAAGCCCGGCTCAATTATTTTTCGGGCCGGGCTCGGGATTTGTCAAAAAAGTCTAGCCTGACTTTTTATATAATTATTTTTATAATTTCTAAACCCTAAGTCCCTAACCCGACTAACCCTTTCCCTGTTTTCATTGACCCACTTCTCAGTTCTCACTCTTAGAGTCTCAATCTATCTATAGCTCAATGAACCAACCGTTGCCACCAACGAACTAGCAATCTCCGGCAAGTCGATGTCGAGCATAAGCTAGCAATGGCAGGTGACAACCTTTTTTTTTTTACTTTACCTTCTCCAGCGAACTCAGGCACCAGTGCCACCAATGAACTAGCAATCTTCGGCAAGTCACTGTCGAGCATAAGCTAGCAGCAACAGGCTTCAGCAGTCTCGTTGTTTTTGTCATTCTTCGTCGGCAACAAACTAGGCTAGAAGTGGTGGCCGACGAGTGACCAAGTCTTCTCTCTCTCTCTGTTAGGTCGGGCTTCAGGCTCAGACTTGGGCTTCGGGCTTTTTATGAGGGTCGGGCTTAGGCCCAAGTTGTAGGCCTGTTGGTCGGGCCAAGCTCAGGCCTAAAAAAATTTTGTTAGTGAAGAGTGAAAGCCCAGTCCATGAACAGGTCTAGCTGCAATATAACAACTGGGAGTCAGTTGTGCATCGAACAACAAAGTATACATGGCTTCCACTTGGGCATAGAATTCACATATGTGCCCCACAAATGCCCCACAACATATCCCAACCATGTATTGGGAACATCTCCTACTGACAACTTCAAAAGATGTTCTCAATGCATGCTGAGATGTTGCATGTGGGCGTTTGTGGGGGGCAGATGTGATCCCCAGAGCACAATCTTAGCAATGAGTAATAACTTTACCATATATAGAACATTTCCAATAGCTCTGCTACACGGCTACCCACAAGAACCCTACCCATGCCTCACAACATTGAGAACATCTCCTATATTTGCATGTTATCATTCATGGGGAGATATTCTCAACGTACAACTGTGGTGTCATGTGGGAAGGTGTGGGTAGGAGATCTGAATTCCTGGAAGAGGAAAAAAAATAGGGTGTCAATGGAAAAAATGATATTAAAATGACATATTTGCCCTTATAGTATAGCCTTATATGATTCAAATCGAATCACTCATGGGCCATGCTTGGTCCTCAAGAGAAGACTGTCAGGTAATTGATTCATGGTCCTGGTCCGCGATCCAGGCCATGTGGAATTTTTAAAAGGCGAGACTGGGCTGCATATAGAGGGTTGTGGGCTGGATCTGGGTTATATGTCCAGCCCATAAGCACACTTTCACCTTTAATGGGTCTAAATGTCTAATCACCCGGATACGATTATTTTCGGTCCGAAGAGGAACCCGACTAAATATTACCGACGGCTCAGATTTGATATATCCAAACAACTTACTTAATCTGCACCGTCTAGAGTTTAGGGCAAGCACCGCTGTCGTCCTTCTCATACTTTTAAAACCCTTCGTTCTACCAAATAGAGGTTTCTCCGACGTGCGGGACTGAAGCGAGGGCTTTCCTCTTGGTTAGTGATTCCCGCGGTAGTGAGGTATGATGGTAAATCAATGGCTTCTGTCTAGGGTTTACCAGTTGTTTAGAGCTTGTTCGTATAGATATCTCTAGGTTGTTAACTCGGATTTGATTTTTCTTTTCCTTTCTAATGGTAATCCTTCTTTTAATCCTTCTCTCGAGAAGAGTCTGTTAGGGTTTTAAATTCTTGGACTGCAACTAGATTTCCCCCCATCTTTTTGTATCTGCTTTTGTTTTCTTAATTGATCAAAATCAAGACATTGCCTGGCTTGCAGATTTGGTGTTTTTGTTTGATGATCTGTTTTTGAGATCCACGTAGGAAGAGGGTTAATAGATTCTGGTGGACATTGTTTGGTTGTTAGCGTGTGGTTTACGATTTTAGATTGATAAAACCTAGAATTTGAGTTGAACCATTTCTTTTGCATTGTATTCGAATCACTTTCTTCACTGCGAACTCATTATCATTCAATTCGTTAAGACTGGAGAATGGTTATTTGGCTATTTGCCAGAACTTATGTGGATATCTTAGGAATTAGGATGAGGTGATTATTTGTTTGGAGGAATGAAGTAGTACATGTAAATTGGTAGAATGATGTTAGTAATGTTAGTTTAAACCCTTCAGATATGCCTTTAAGGCTTCAATAGTGAGCAAATATGATTTATGCTGGTTTACTTCCAGCTTGGTGACAGAAAAGTTTAGGGGTGACAGAAAAGTTTTATCCATTTAGGCTCAGTTTGAAAGGAGTACAAATGCAAATATGTAGGGTGCAAGATCTTATATTTTGTATGTATTTGCACTGTACGTATTTATTTGCATTTGTACTCTTTCCAAACTGAGCCTAGAAACATAAAGTATAATGCAACTATTTGTCGACAACTGGGCATAAATGGAGGACACCTAGACTTTATAAGCAAGCTTTCCTTGAATATGAGATCTTTGTCGTGCCAATTCGATTATTTGCACATACAACCCTTCAATCGTGGCTTTATTTATGATTTGACAAATCATGACTAAATGTTTTGTTTATAGAGCTAGCAAAATCACTTGGTGGAACAAAGATGTGAAGAAGAAATGATGGAATTGTACAGAAACTATGTTCCTTGTCTGTATATGTTTGTTATGATGCTTCACATCCATAGATAAAGGATTTAGTTGAAAATGTATTTATGTTATTGTTATTCTCTTTTCTAATCTAACCTTTGTCATGGCAGCCAGCTCCGTCAAGATGTATACCGCAAGGAGGAAAATCCAGAAAGACAAGGAAGCAGAACCAACCGAGTTTGAGGAGTCAGTTGCACAGGTTAATATTATCACTGTTATTCCTGTTACTTTTAGATGTTCATTTATTTAACATTTAACACTATGCGGACACAACATTGGGATTCTGGTTATCTTGTGTATGCAGTCTCTGTTTGATTTGGAAAATACCAATCAGGAACTTAAAAGTGACTTGAAGGATATTTACATCAATTCTGCAGTGTAAGGGCAGCCTTATGGTTCATTACTATAAACTTTCACCTTTGGTCTGCCATGGATCTTGACCTTTTTCGTTTTCCAATACTGCAGTCAAATTGATGTTTCTGGGAACAGGAAGGCTGTTGTTATCCATGTTCCTTACCGACTGAGGAAAGCTTTCCGCAAAATTCATGTCAGGCTTGTAAGGGAGCTGGAGAAGAAGTTTAGTGGAAAGGTAATTCAAAGGCTTTGTTTTGCCTCTCAAAAATGTGATGACCTTTCTGTAACATTGAAACTAATGGGAAATGACATCTTGGTGGTATCTGTATTCTTGCCGATCCTGCTAAACCATTTTAAAGAAGGTTCTAGTTCTCTTCATTTCCAGAGCTTCTATATTCTGGTGACTCTTCTCTTAGTTTAGAAAAATTGGTGTCTATTTATTTCCTATAAAAAAAGATGTCTATTTATGTTCGATGGCAAGAGGAGTGTGCATCTCTAATTATCATTGTCTACAAATTTCCCTATTCTTGCATTCAATCGATCATTGCCATGTTTCTATTATGGTGACCCTTCTCACTCTTTATTCTAGCTGGTGTTTGAGTTGTGGTCTTGAGTAAGTTGCTTGGAGACTACGTGCTTTCTTCAAACAGTCTGTTGTAGCTTTTTTTTTTATTTCTTTTCAATGTTGAAGTTGAGATACTACCACCCATCCTTTATAAACTCAAAGGGCATAATTGTCTGTAGGATGTAATCCTCATTGCAACCAGAAGGATATTGAGGCCACCAAAGAAGGGCTCTGCGGTTCAACGGCCCCGTAGCCGCACACTCACTGCTGTGCATGATGCCATGCTGGAGGATATCGTATATCCTGCTGAGATTGTTGGGAAGCGCATTAGATACCGGATTGATGGATCCAAAATTATAAAGGTAAAAGACAGATCTTGCATCCAGATGGGAAAGGATTATTTCCCACCCGTGTTCTCATTTTTTTCTCAACTTGTATATTTTTTCTTGGGTCTTGTTCCAACTTCTTGTGGGCGTTTTATTTTTCTTTTAGATTTTCCTGGATCCAAAGGAGCGGAACAACACAGAATACAAGCTCGAGACTTTTGCAGCGATTTACAGGAAGCTTTCAGGGAAAGATGTTGTATTTGAATACCCTATAACTGAGGCATAGAAATCCTGATACGATGTAATGGAGATCAGTCTTTTTGTTATGTTGCTATTAAGTTTTTACCATAATTGGTACTATTTAAAATTTTGACTCTGATTTTATGGAACAAGTTCGTTGATGGGTTTAGGTTGCAATTGACAAAGCTGTTTTCTTCTCTTATGGGATGTGTTGAGAATTGCTCGAAAGAGCAATGTTTGTGAAATCTTTTTAATACCATGATTTTAGACTTGGAAGGACATGAGGCTAGGATGAGTGGAGGTTTAGTTTAGCCGTTTAGGGCCTCAAATGGATGTGGGTGGTCATGTATGTATTTTGTGATGGTTTACCTGTTTTGATCTGGAACTAGAAGGAAAATCTAACTAACCATCTCTTCAACCATTCATTAAAATTCAAGGCATTTTGCACGGCAAATTATTTTTCTTTGGCTCAGTTTGGAAGGAGTACGAATGCAAATTTGTACAGTACAAGTTTGCACTATACAAATTTGCCTTTGTACTCCTTCCAAGCTGAGCCTTAGCAATATTATCACTATGGCTACTTGTCTCATGAGAATTGAGAAGTGGCCCTGGTTCCTTATTGACGACAGGAATGGTTAGGTATTATGCTCCATCTTTCTTTTTAAATTAGTCCATTTTTACCATGACTCTTCGGTCTGCCCTCCAAATTGCAATTTCTTCTTGCGGACGTTGAGCGTTTATACAACATTGTTTGAATCTGAGGTAGTAAAAATTAATTTGATGTAATTGTATGGAAAAAAAAGATATACCTGGGTTAAGGCAGAGATAAGTTAAGTATCTCAAATAATCTATACAGGTCTGAATTGATTTAGAAGAATTAGGAAGAACCAAAACCAACCCAGTTGTTAATCGAAATAAAGTTATTGAACCAAAACCAACATAATCGATTCAGTCAAATTATAGTCCGATATGAGATCTCCGAGAAAATCCTATCCGATATGAGATCTCCGAGAAGATCCTATCCCATATGTATTATATATTTATAAATATAAATATATATAATACATATATATGTTATTTATTTATATATAAATAAATTTTTATAAATTTGTTTTATTATTTATTTTTTATAAAACATGTATATATGATGAAAATAATTAAAAAGTACTTGTATTTTTTTGTTTTATTTTATTTAAATTAGTATATTTTATTTTGCTTTTAATAATTTATTAATTTTTAAAGAAAATAAGTCAGTTCGAATCCTATCAGATCGTTCAGATTTTTGGATCGAATAAAATCTAACATGAACAGTGTCGGATTGGATTTAAATATACCCTAATTCGAATCCAATCCGATCTATTTACATCCCTAAATAGGATAGAACTGATCGACCAACAACTGCCATCTTTGCCCATATGCGGGTGAACTTAAGTGAGATTCGATCTAAGTCTTCCGCTACAACCACTCATAGACTTTTTTTTTTTTTGTAAGAACCAGCCATAGACTATTGAGAGGGCTTATGCGCAGCATTTCTGGCTTTGAGAGACCGGCCCTACACGGAAAGTATAAATTTATGTTTAGTAAAAATTTGGAAATCCCAATTTGGCTGTCGTTGAGCTAATTGAGCGACTGTCATGAGTGGCTTATTTGGAACACCACCCATTTGAGCAATTTAGCATATAAGACTTGTTCATTGGTGATTTGGTGTTACCTCTATCAAGTATCAACCTTGCTTAAGTTTGGGTTGCGTGAAAATTCATAATGTTGCCTAACATCATCGAGGAGTGTCATCACAAGCAGCGGATAGGTTGACTCATCTCTCTATGTCTAATTGTGATTTATCTACTAGTGATCTTGGTTATATTTGTTTTGGTGATATTGGGACGTCCTACCCCTGTCTTATGTAGCCCCCTTTAAATGTTCAATCTATAAAAAAAAAAGAACTTAACATGTAACACAACAATATCCTATATTTTTTAAATTATATTTATTACCCCTATGTCAATGAAGATTAAACTTCGTGACTCGTGAGTAATTGGGTATTGGCAACCAGGCACAGAGCTGAAGAGCCTATTAAAATGCTGATAACCTGATACAGCTCTAAAGATCAGACAACTATTCTGTGGATCCGGTGACTCCATGCTGAAGAATGCTATTCAGTGACTGAAGAAGTTATTGATTTGTTTTTTACCAATACCCAATTAGAAGATAAAACACTGATTTGTTTGTTTAGACAGATTTGGGTATATCTTTGGTATAGCTTCCATTTATTCATTAAATGTTTGTAAAATTGAGAAAAGCAATAATGAAATTACTTATTGACAATTAGGCACCACGAGGCGCCATTAGGCTTTATATCGGCAAAATAGTAAATAAATGTCTAATAGTTGGGGGAAGTAAGGTTCAAAATATTGATACGCCCAATATGCCGATAGGGGCGTATCAGGCGAATCAATACCTTTTTTTTTACTTTTTTTATTTTTTTTCAAAACCGATTTAGGGGAGCCGGTTTAGAGCTCCTCCACCCCTTAAATCGGTCAGATCCCCGACACACCCGCTATATGGGCATATTGAAGGGGTCCCAGAATGATATATATTGGCCAATACATATCAATATTTTGAACTTTTGAGGGAAGCACTAAAATGAAGCTTCTCCCAAAAGTAGGCGGTTAGGCGCGCACATAAATCAAGGCCCGCTTTTAACACCCGCTTGATATAAATTGCATTTTCGTTAATTAACTCTTCTATTCGGCTTTTGAATGGAGTTCCACCAAACATGGCTTAACGAAAGCTAAAGCCCCTCCCAAACAGGCCCTGGATTCTCTCCGCGACTTCGACGGTGACTACATTCTTCTACCAAAGCGTGTATATTGCTTCTTCTGACTGACGTTCCATTGAACTTACTCCCAGTACAAGGGTTCTTATTTCCCTCCACCCCCACCTCTCTCTCTCTCTCTCATTTAGAAATCAACCAGCGGTTTGTAAAACATGAAGTGAATAAACCCAAAAAACAAGGTTTTACTCTTGATGAAAGAAATGGCAGAACCAATTTGCAGAGTTTTGCGAGATGGAGCATTGGAGGGAGAGCATGCTCCTGCTCTGATGATAAAGGACTCTATGCACAGTGCTTTTGGACTTGATGTCTTCAATCATATTCTTTGTTCTCTTGCCTCAAACATATCTGCTGGAAAATCGCAAGCTCGGTTAGTTCCACTCAAGACTAAAAATCAACTTTTAATTTTCTTTGTCGATTTAAGTTAATTAATTTACATAATACTTTGCTACAGAGGTCTTGTGCTCGTTTCATTAAATCGACATCCGTCATTCTACACTGATTTGTTAAAGAGTAGAGGAATTGGTGTTGCCTCGTCCAATAAATTGTAAGAATATCTACCTCAATTTCTGGAGTAATAATCAGTGAACATTGTAGCAGTAGGTTAACTGAGTATTAACATCACGTAGGTTATTGAAACGATCTTTTCACTGTGTTGACAGCTTCTATTTCAATCAAAGTGTTAAGAGTGAACTTATGCCTTTCCTTTTTATCTTTTACTTTGTAATAGACAGTTTTTCTCCATTTATGTTTCCTTTTGATGCTTACTAATGTGGTTTGAATCGGTCGTATAGGATTCAGATTGTGGACTGTTATTCTGATCCTCTTGGCTGGAAGGATCGGCTTCTGGACCCTGGATGCATTACCAAGCTTTCTCCAAAAGCTACAGGTACTCTTTGCAAGGATATCAGGGATCTAGACAAGCTGCTCTCCGTAATCCTTGAACTTGGGAATGGTATACTTCTAGACTATGTCTGTGCTGCGATGTTAGTTACTGCATGATGATGAATTTCAGAAAGTATCCCTAGAGTTGTGGTTGTATTACCAAGCTTGTTTTCTCTTATAACTGCTATTTTCTTAAAACTCACATATGTAACTTATGGTTGCAGGATTGGTTGGAGTTGGACAAGGAAAAATCCACTTCTCAGTTGCTATAGACTTGGTAACCATGTTTGTTGCAGCTTAAGTCTATTAGTAAGAGTGCAAATAGTATCGATAGGAAACACATGTTATAATGGAAGAAGCTAAAACTAGAATCTAAGATCCCTACTAATTAAGCCAATATCTGGACTATCTTCCATATGAATATGGTTATAGTTGCATGTGGACTAGCTCATATAATGGCCTCTCAATGCATGGTTTAATTTTTCAAAAACCTGATATATAAAAAATACAATCAATGATTTCATTTTGGAACTCTTGTCAGTTTAGTTTCCTGTGGTGAAGGGTCTTGCCTTGTTCTTGTATTAGGAACTATATGAGTCCTTATTATTGATCCATAAGCATTGGAAGAATTATAATGTGCAAAAACTTTTGCGAGAACTTTCTACATTCATAGGCCAAATAAATTGTTTATAAATCCATGTATGGAAGCAGTGCACAGAAGTTAGGTGTACAACAGGGTTGGGCATAGTGATTCGAAGCCCATACGACCATTGAATTGCTTGCATGCCTCAGACCAAAAGTATATTTATGTTTTCTTAACCATAAGTTTTGTCCTACAGTTGGGGTTTCTTTCCGTAAAAGATAATCCTATTTTTTTCACCATAATAGACATGCAGACTGATTTGCCTAGCATAAGGAGAAATTTGAATCTTTTGCACTTTGTTTAATCTCCTTGGTGTACCACCATCTTCACCCTACACTAGATGAGTGCTGATCTATCACTTTTTTTACATTTCTCCTTAGGTCTCTCTGAGTTATTGGGTGGTATGGAATTCCTACATCTCTATCATCAACTTTCAGCTTCCAAGCAATGTGAGATTTGTTTGTGGGCTAAATTAGAAGTTCATGCAAAGTACTGATCCAGTACTTGTGACCCCCGGCTTCTTGTACATCTCAATGAATTGTGAAAGCTTTGGCTAACTTGAATTGAGTTTTATACAAGTCGGGCAAGAGTTTTAATGCAGTTTCTAACCTGACACAACCCTCCTTTATCTGGGCTTGAGATCAGCAGTGTAAGACAGGCTCATATAGGCAGAAACATGATTTCCCCTAGGAGTTTAATTAGAATAGAATCTTGTACATGTTTATCTGATTTAAGTTTTTACTGCAACCTGGTATATGAACAATAAACTCTTGGTTTTGTCGTGTTGATCGACCACAACTGGAAATGGTAACTTGGAATCCCTAACAAATATCTATTTTTTGATCAATCCTAACAAATATCTGTCATTTCTCTGTTCTAGTCATACAAGAGACTTCTGTCTGTAGGAGATAATTTGAGATCTTAAGTATCCAAGGTTGGTGGTGTGCATGAAGATGAATATATTGGGCATATATATCAAAATGCTTTCCGATAGCAGATTTGATTTCTGTTTGGTCACATTTGGCAAGTGAACTCTTTGATCTTTAGAAGGCAAACATGATTCCATAGTTTTGAGCTATAGGTGCATTTAGAGGTTTCTACAGCATTTATACACAGCAAGGGCATCTGCCCATTTTCTGAAATCTGTTCCATATCCACATTTCAGAAAGATTCCAATGCTTAAAGTTAGACAAGATCTTTTCTGTTATCATATATCTTTGGTCTCACATATTGTTAGCACTTATATAGTTTGCATACACTTGATTTAAGTTATTTTACTTAAATATCTCTTAATATGTTTAACAAAGCATATATTTGTGTCCTATTTTTGAGTTTATTGAAGTCAAGGTGTTCTATACCATGTGTAATTTACACAGGAGATGGCAATCTGGATGTCCCATGGATTTAATTTCTTAAAGGACTGCATGCTGGGGTTTTTGAAAGTAAATTTGGCAAGTCAAAAACATGATCTTTCATCATTCACTTAACAAGTAGTTTCCCTTAACTTAATACTGTGTTTGGTTTGAATGAAAAAGTAGGGAAAGGAAGGGAAATATAGGGAAACCTTTACAAACCTTGTATAGGTTTCCTTACGTTTCCCTTCCTTTCCCTACCTTTTCCTTCAAACCAAACATAGCCTAATGGATTCTTCGCCAATTTAGTTCTTCCATTACTGGTTCAAAGCAAATTCACTGCATAGCTATTTAAGCATCTTAAATTTGTAGATTCATGTACTCAAAACAAAAAGATGTTTTGGCTGTTACTTGGTGGAAGTTTGATCCAATATTTTGCATATATTGTCTTTTGAAATTTCATCTAATATCCATCATTTGCTCATATACTTATTAGTTTTTTCGAAGACATTTGTTCATTTATTTCTGTAGCATATTTTCTTGCTAATAACTTTTTGAGATCTATAATACCTAGATACCTGTATAAGGGTGCCATATCATGTTGGATACTTTATTTTTTAGTGTAAACATTATATCTGACACATTGTCCGGCTGTTTCCTTGTTTTACCTTGGTACACATCGCTTTCTCTTGACATGATACTTGATCCTTGAAATATTTTCCAGGTCACTGTAATTATAAGGCATACATCTCTGCAGTCAGTCTCACGCCTTATAAGCAACTTACGCAGCCATGGTATCATGTTCTTCTGTTGATATTTTTTTTGTCCCTCTATTAAACTTAAAGCTTCTTGGTAAGCACGGCCAACAGTATTTTTCAAACTTTCATTTAGATGGCATGTCACTTGATTTTCAATTCTTGGCAATGCAGGGCTTAGTGGTTATTTCTTTCAAATAAATTCTGATATGAATACGGCTATGGGTATCTCATATAATTGGTTATATCTGTATATCATACTTCCATATCTAGTTTTTTTATGGAAGGTGTCATTTCTGAGCTTATACCTTACCATTTTATAATATATATATATATATATAGTATGATTTGTTAAAATATACCAATTTACATAATTTCAAAGTGCTAATGCTATTAGAGTATCCATGCAGTATGCCAGTATTTGGTATATATTTGTGTTTGCCACCAGTATGCTGGGCATGTATAGGTACCCGGGTATTATAACCTTACTGCCATATGCCATTCACCATCCAAAAGAACATGAATTCAGAGATTTGCAATCACCAATTTTCTGGGTGGAATCCATTGCTTTGTGGGCCTCAACTACCTTAGAGGTGTGCCACTTGCACAGTTGCACCAAATATCATTTTTCTCCCAATAGTCCTGAAGAAGTGTTCTAGAACTCAATTGCCAACATTTGTTCATAAATAGTTAAAATAAAGTCCAACCTAGGCAAATTCTTTTGGTAAGTTCTTTTTGGGTTTGTGTGTATACTGTATTTTTGTACTCCAGTACCCCACTTTTTGCCAGGGCCAGCTGTGAATTGGGTTGAGCAAACAATAACATCTAAGCACCACAAGTTTCATGAAAGAATTAGTGTGTAAAAAGATCAAGCTAAGGGGAAAATGAGATCATGTTGGATGTGCATGTCTGCATGATAGTGACAATCTTGAAATTTAAAGCTATAATTGATCAAAAAAAAAAAAAATCAAAGCTATAATAATGTGCAAGGTAGGATACATTCACTTATCATTTTTCTTCTTTTATTTGGTAGTGGTGTTTATTTTTAGGGATGCAAACAGATCTGATTGGACTCAAATTGGGGTATATCTGAATTCGGTCCGATGTATAAATCTTATATCTGATCTGATCCAATGGCCCGGTGGATAAAGATTAATCCAAATTCGAATTAAGGATGTCAGATATCTGAATCTGATCCAATCCGATTTAATTACCCATAGGTCTGTAAAAATTTAACAAATTGTTAACAGAAAAGAAAAACAGTTTATACAAAGAAGAAAAATACAAGAACATATAAAAAAAGAAGAAAAATACAAGTACATATCAAAAAAAAAAGAAAAGTACAAGCATTTCTTTCAACCTTTTTTGTCATATATATTTCAAACAAAATGGGGGTATACATGTCTTTCAGAAAACAACATAAATAATGTAAAAAATTAAATTACAACATCAGGCTCGAATTTGGGCTCAAGCTCGATTTGAGCTAGAGACATTTTCTCGAATTTGGCTTGACTCAAAAGCTCGTATGTTTGAGCTCAGCTCAACTCAAGTTTGATAATGAGCCAACCCTTTTTTTTTTTTATCCGACCTGATTCAAAGTATCTGACAGTGGAACATCTGTCAAATATTCCTATTTGAAATAGGATCAGTTTCAAATTTGAATTGGATCACGATCCAATCCGTTTGCACCCCTATTTATTTTAGCGGGTTGGGGATTGTGGAGAGGATTGATTACTAGCCATAGCTAACATGGCATAACGGAAGAGCTTATCCTTGTTTATTTATCTGATAGTCTATATAATTACTAATGGTTACTTCACACATCAGAGACGCAAGGGACAATCAGGATAATATATATATATATATATATGGAATGTAAACTATTTAAATTGAAATCCTTGAAGTCCTCCAGAATAGATGCCTGAAAAAGCAATTGCCTCTCTGTTTTACTAATTACCACTTCCAAGGGTATGCTTCCCCAAGATAGATGCCAAAAAAAAAAAAAAAACATTTTCCTCGGATTGATAAAAGAATTTTCACTATCACACTGCCTGTCCGCTTCATTTTACCGATTTTCATCTTTTACTAGATACCTTTTGTATCAGGCTCAGTTTTGATATGCCTTTGAAAGGTTTCATAGAAGTAGTAGGATAAGAAACTCAATACTAGATAGCCAGAGGTCTAATTATTATACATATGAAAGGCCATTAGCCAATGTTGGTCCCAGCTATCTGTGGTCTTGGGAGGGGTAGACTGGGTATGGTCCTAACCTTAAGCATTTTTTTTTTTTTTGCACAAGTGGTTGCCCTTAGACTTGATGCTGCATTCTGATCATTATACATATCTTCGGCAAGAAACTGAATCAGATCAAGGTTTCTGGTTGTTTCTCTTATTCTATATTGATTTCTTTCAAATTCCTTCAAGGGCACCCTTAGAGATTAAGTTGTTGGTAGTATTGGTCATCACTCTCTTTGTTTGCCAAGTTAGGACTTTGTTTTGACTTTTTACACTCTTTTCTGTTATGCATTCAACTGGCAATTAAATTTATATCATTTAGAACTTTTTATTTAATCCTTGTGATCATCTATGAATTTGGTATTTCCATGATATGGGTGCCTCTAAACTTTCGCTGACAATTAGGAATAGTGAACCAAAATCTATGCAAAAATATTTCCTCCAATGAGAGCCAATGCCCTAGGCCTTCTTTGTATTCAACTTCTGCCTAGTTACTTCTAAATGATTTTAGATATCCAATGGTAGTTTTTATTGATCAATATTATTGTTCAAGAGAAACTTCAAAGATGACGTAGTTTTTTTTTCTTTTATTTTGGTACATTCATACAAATCAAATAAACTCCAAAATTACATTTCTAATTTTCTTTTATTTTCATTTATATATTTTTTTGATAAATTATTTTCATTTTTATATTTATTTAACTAAGCATTTATCCATTTAGGTTTCCAATAACACGATTCTAGGAAGCTAAGTTTCAATCAGAATAACACGAGAAATAATATTAAAGAAACTTATTTTTGTTCTTTACTGATAAAATATGTAGTAAAAAAAAATGGGTCTTTTGCTAGATTTAGGACTTAGTGGGTATAACTTTAGAAACAACGGAAATTAGTGCAAAGAGCTCCTACTAATTAGGTCTCTAGTAACACCATAAATTTCCCCAACTGAGATTATTTTAAGATGTTAATCTGACACCTAATGAAACAGCTTCCGCTTTTCTGTTTTGGCTGCAGACCAAGTTTCAAGTGTATTTTGGTTGATCCATTCAGACCTTCATGAGATGAAGGCTATAGCAGCTCTTGAATATATGTCTTCTATGGTTGCTAATTTAGAGCCAATTGGTCAATCACCAAATGAACAGAGAGGACATTTTGAGAAGCTTTTGTGGACTGAACAAAATTCTAATAAAGGAAAGTTCCATGTTCGGTTCAAGCGTAGGAATGGAAGAGTTAAATTGATGGTTCTCTCTCTTGCCTGTGCCTTGTTCTTCACATAAAATGAAAAAATCTATCATATTTGACTGGTTTCAAGTTGTGCTATCTAACATTTATAAAGTCATGTCCAGTCTGAAGAATTTCTTGTGGAGCAAGGAGGCATTAAGTTCATTACTGTTTCTTCGGGAAATGGGATGATTGATCAAAGCCTTTTACCGAAGGTCAGTTAGATTATCTTTTACTGGTTGGAATTTAGAATATTCAATTGCACCCAAATGCCATGTACATCCGTAGGTTTTTTGGCTGCACACATTTTCAAATAGGGATATCTATACTTGTATTTTGTATGTTTTCAATATTTACAGATGCTCTATTCAACAGGTGCAGTTCAATCTCCAGCTATCAGAGAAGGAACGGGTTGACAGGGCAAAGGTTGTACTTCCATTCGAACACCAAGGTATGGCTGCACAATCCGAATTTGAGTTTTCCAAAGTCTAGCTTTGGTTGGTATTGATTGAAATATGTTACTTGAGTTCTGAACGCAGTTGTTTATTGTGGTAAATACTGCCTGTTTAGTTAGTGGCTACTATCTTGTTCTTTTTCAGGAAACGGTAAATCCATGCAGATTTATGATGGTCGAAGATCTCTCACAGAGGGCCATAATAATCTGAGTACACCAGCTTCAACCACTACAAAAATTCATACAGAAGCTGATTGTGGCAAGGGCGAGATACACTATATTCGTGATTCAGATGATGAGATGCCAGATTCAGACGAGGACCCAGATGATGATTTGGACATATAAATCCACCCTCCTGCTGGGGAACTCTCTGATGATCTGGAGGTTTCTATTATGTTGTATGATGAGAAGATACGTTCACCTGAAAGGGGTTTCTATTCACACATGCTAGATAGCTAGAAACCTGCAAGTTTATTGCTTTTCTCTTTCCAGAAGGGAAAGAGTTCCTAGATGCAACTGCTCGAGTTTCTTTGGGAAGCCTTTTGAATAGAAGGGGACTCAACTTCTTGATTTGAGTCTTACCTGAAGAAAAGCAAGCTTACTTGATTTGTTTCTACACCTTTTGAGGTTAACAGGTTTGATTTATGTTACTCTTTGTGAAGGATTTATGCTTAAGCTAATTTATGCTCAGGTGGCATAATGAAATGGAGTTGTTCATTTGATGGCAAAGTGCTTCAGATGTCTTTTGAAATTCTAGTTCAATGTATCGTATGGGACTTCAGACATCTTTTGACGACTGACGGCTAAGGGCTCGAATTATTCATTTGATTGATGGTTTTGGATGAGACTTGAGAGTATATCTTTGTTCTACTTTTTTACGTGTTTAGTTGCATGTACTAACTACTAATTACCAATATAAATGGGTAATATGTTGACAGAAGAGAGATGCTTTTGGCCCAATTGGAGCATGAATAATCACATCACTGCTCAACTTGTAAGCAAACTGATAGTAAATGCACAATGGTTGCTTGTTTATTTTGCAAATGCACGTTGTTTTATTTTTTATTATATTCTCATCTTTATTCCCTCGAATAATAATAATAATAATAATAAATGGATAAATATTATTATTTTGACTCCCATCTGTCCATGCACGAATCATGAACCTTTAACTTGAGGTTCACTCTGCCAAGTAGACGTTCAGACTCCAAACTCTAAAATCAGGATGCTCATTGGTCAATGGCAATTTGGCAACATCACAAGCATTCCTTCCTGTTGTTCTTTTGACTAAACTCACTTGAACAAAATGTTTAATATTGAAAGAAGGGTCTCGCAGATGGTCGTATGGTTTATGTTCTATCATTTCCTTTTCTCGAATTATTTTCTATAGCCAAACTGGTTGCAATGTACTGAATAATGTTTGTAATTCCATGGTCATGCGTTAAAAGAGTAAATAAAATTCAAGCTCAACTGAGAATTGTAGAAATGTTAGCATAAATCTTTTTGGATGGGAAGTGAATCAGAGATCTACTGCTGGCAAAGGTTAATAAAGAATGAACCTGTAGCAATTAGTGCTACATGGGGTATTCTGAGATGTACATAATAAAAAGTTAAAAACATAAGGAATAAAAGAAAACATCATAATTGTTGTACAAGGCCTACTATAATTCTCTTTGGGCTTGGGTAGCTTTGCAGTTCTCCAGCTAAGAGTGGATTAAGGTTATGGAGATCAAACACTGGGGAATACAGAGATAGCTATCAAGTGAGATCTTCCAAGTGCTAACAAGAGTCACCACCCAATTGCCTCCTTGGTATGACTTGTATGATTGATTTCATGGCTAAGAGGCTCAAAATCTCTGTAAGCCAGAAGATGCACATTGGCTTAGGCCCTTAAGATGATGAGATTAGTTAACCCGGCACCACAGTATTAAGTGGTTGCATGTGATATTGAGTACCTTTCAATAAGGTTTAAATCTCTTGATGCAACTTACTGCTAAAATCAACTGACGTGATTTTGGCTCAAGTAGTATCCATATAAAAATTTCATATGATCTCCTATTTTCCTTAATGTCTAATAACATTGTTCCACAAGTTGAATATCAGTGTCAAGTTGAACATGGACATGCAATAGAAGGCTTATGGATGAGAATGCGATCACAATGTCTGAAATGTTTTCCAAGCTGACTTGACTCATGGCAATGTGGGTTGAAGCTCTTGTATATCCTTTTTGAGCTGATAATCTGAGTCTGGGTCCATTATTCATGCACAGTTTCCAGCAGTTCGGATTTATTGGAATTTCTTGGGGCTGTTTGATAATGATTGAATATGTTGTGTTTTAGTGGATAAACTAATTAAATAATAAAATATTCAACCATATTAATCAACTCAACTTCAGCTCCAGCCATTAAGGAGTTCACAATCTCTTCCATTACTTATCCACTAAAAGACAAAGCAACAAGTCATTCAGTTCAACCACATTAGCTGTTATAAAATGACACCTGAGATTTTGACTAGAGAGGTTCAGGATCCTCAAGCCCAAAACTACCTCATTGAAGACATAGCAGGTTCTGCATGTAAGAATATAATAAAATAATGATCATGTAAGCAAGTGGTACCTCAAGACAAGACGACAAGTCCTAGGTACATGGCTCCACAGAGAAACAAAAATGATATTAATCCCCTGTAATCAGATTTAAATATAAATTAGCTTCCAGAAGGATGAAATATTTGTAACTAGGGAGGGAAGCTGCATACATGTGGAACCATTAAGGCAATCGAGACACATTTACAACAAACAAGGGCAAGGGCAAGGGAAAACGCTCACCAGATAACTCCCCATGCAACACCATTGCAAGGGCATGGACAATGGTCTGCAAACTTTTCAGCATCACTGGTGTGAACTCTTCGGGATATTAGATCATCATATATATCTGCATAAATACAGGTGGTACAGGACATAATTTGGCATTACAGAACTAGATGGCTAACCCACATATTAGGGTTGATCAATTGGTTCGATTCCAGAATGCTGAACAAAAGAAAGGGCAGCCCAGTGCATGAGGCTACCGCCAATGTGGGGTCTGGGGGGCGGCAGATGCACACAGCCTTACCCCTGCACATACAGAGAGGCTGTTCCCAAGATTTGAACCCTGGTCACCCAGGTCAAAATGGAACAACCCAACCATTGCGCCAAGGCCCACCCTCAGAATGCTGAACAAAAGAAACCTGAAAGAAATCCTAGTAGAAGATACATACCATATACTGAAAACAAGCTGTTCATTACACCTACAATGTGCAGATTGATACAGTCAACATACTTTCTTCCAGAAAAACAAAAATAGAAAACACTTTGCAGTCTGTTGCATAAAGAAAAGAAATTGCATAAGCATAAAGCATATACCAATGAACATAATGATGTATCTAAGAATGCGGACTTTCGTCGTTTCTTGTAAAAGCCAAATTACGGCAAGGAAAATGATAAACCCTGGGAAGTTCAGTAAAGACATTAGAATTGTGTTTGTATTTTATTGAAAACTATGAATATTAGAGAAAGCAAAAGTTGTCAAGAGCTTGAAAAAGTTACCAATACAAAGTCCTCGAAGTGTCCACTGTTAAATAGGAAAAAGATAATCAATAAGCCAAAGATGATCAAGAAGCCAAGTAAACAGGCAGGTGTGAAACTCAGAAGTTTTATGAAAAATAACATCAGAATGTTGCATTTGCATAGGATAGGACAAATATGTTTAGCAGAGACTCTTATCAATAATCTAAATATAAGAAGTACTCACATTTTTAGCAACAAATAGTACAATAAGCAAGGCTATACCAAAACATGCAGCAGCAATTCTTGCAGTTAGAAGATTTGTAGATGCCAGTATAAGAACCATTCCCCAAAATGAAGAACCAATGTCTGGAAAGTTCCATACAATTTCAAAGCCACTAAAAAAATCAATAACAAATACAGAATGGTATTAACTTAAATTTTAGATGGATCCGAGAAAACTAACTAGTTAAGGATACTAGGCCCAATCATGAATTTTGCAAATCTAGCATTGCTGCAAATGAAATTCCAACAAACTGAAATGAGATCTTATGAGACCAAAAAAAGATAAGGACAGAAGTACATTACATCCAGCAGGCAAAATTAACCAATATACACCACCACGAGTTTGTGTAACTCCACCTTCATTTGCATGAACTTGGATCCCCTCCACCTGCATATTTAAGTAGAATATCCTTGTTCAGAAGCAACTCTAGAATCTAGAGTCGACAGATAAAATTATAACCATAGAGTCGGGAGAATCCTAATCAAATAGTGGAACTAATCATCAGAAATTGTTTGTACTTGTAGAAGAACAGCATAGAAAACCAATAAAAACATCATAAATTATTTCACCAAATAAACATTACTAGTTGCAGGTACAGTCTTGACTCTTGAGCATATAAATTTTGAGAGAGAATGGTGAAGTATTTTATTAAATAATCTAAAAATGTATATAAACCTTGCCCAGTAAGGCACTGGACAAGGCAAGTATTAACTTTATACATCCCCAAAACCACTATTCATCAAATGAACAAATCATACAAAAAAGATTGCTATGACAAAAAAAGAGCAGAAAGGAATATTCTTGAAAAAACTTGTGTGTCGCCACCAATGAGTAAATCCTACCCCAACTGCCTTTTAAAACTCTCTCTTTTGAACTGAACTTGTCTTCAAAAAGCCTCCTGTTTCTTTCCTGATTGACAACAGCATTGCTGCCAGCACAACCTTCCAAACAATCCTTCCTTTCCCTGACAAACCACCCACATTCTAGATCTTTAGCAAATCCATCAAGTTCCTTGGGAAACACAGCTGAACTCCAAGCACCCTCAGAGATTTCATCTGTATCTCCCAAGTGAAGCTACAATGCAGAAAAAGATGCTCCACCTCCTCAGAATTGTTGCCACACAGCACACATCTACTGGGTTCTACCATCAAACCTCTCTTTGATAAATCGTCAACTGTTAAGCACTTCCCTAAAACTGTCACCCACACAAAGAGGGACTTTGAGGGGAGCACCGGAGCAACTGATCTCCAGACCCTATATTCAGGGAAAGAAACCTCCTCAACATTACACAGACTGCTATTAAAAGATTTGACTGTGAAATTTCCTGAATTCTCCCCTAACCAAATTCTCTTATTCATCCTTGCACTGTCCACCCTAAATGTATTAAGGATTTGCGTCAATTCTTCCCATTGATCTACTTCCCAATCATTCAGGCTCCTTCTAGAAATAGGATTCCAAACTCCCACGCCTCCTTCCTGAGAGAACACCTCCGATACCAAATATTCCTTGTTGAGAGCAATTTCACATAAAGTTGGAAATCTGTTCTTGAGAGGGATAACCACCACACCATACCTCTTGCCAGAAACTAACTCTTGACCCATCTCCTATTTCCAGCTTTATCCCCTGTTTGAAATCCCTTGTTACTTTCTGCATGCCCCTCCACACTGCACATCCATAAGAAAGATTTGATTCACTTGGCTCCCAGTTTGAATTCCTTGAACCCTATTTAGCCAATATCACTCTTTTCCAATGATTTGTGTGTTGTTCATTCCACCTCCAAAACCACATCCCTAGGCAAGCCACATTGAAATTTCATAATTTTCTTATCCCTAAACCTCTTGCCTTTCTTGGCCTACAGACTTAACTCCAATTGACTAAGTGGAACTTGAACTCTTCATTCCACCCCTGCCACAGAAAATCTCTCATTTTCCTCTTCAAAATCTTGGCCTTACTAGTTGGGATGGGGAACAGGGACAGTAGATAAGTGGGGAGAGAGAGAAGACAGAACATTTTTGCTTAGTGTTAGTTTTCCACCCTTTGACAAATACTCTGATTTCTCTCAAAGTGGCATTCCCAAATACTTTGTCAGCAATTTCCCAACTTTTCAACCCACTATATCTGCCAACATGTCTAAATTATGATCATCCCCCACCACTAAGCCTCAAAATTATTTTAACTCATACAATTTTGTTTAATAACCTATTCAATACCATAATTGGTTTGTAGGTGAGTTAGACAAATGGAACAACAAAACTCTTAATTGCAACTTAATTCTTTGTATGAAAATTTTGAATAAAAGGATTGAACCATGTGAATTGTACAAGTATCTTGAAAGACACCGAAGGGAGTGTTAATCAGTATAGTTTCTAACTTTACACCCATGGGGTATATCTTTATATCTATTATTTTCTTAGCATGGTTTTTTTGTACCTCAAGACAAGGCCCTATATAGAGTGAAATGACAGAAGAAACCCATCTAATTGATGCAAGTTGGCTTTCCTAGCAGAGCTATTTTGGTAATTTCATCAAAATAGAAGATTAGGGCCATGTAAAATGGAATGATGGAAGAGAACTGTAGTCAGCGAAAAGTGAGGATTAGGCTTCACTAAGAGTTGTGAGGAATCACTCCTTAAGAGATGGTTAAGAGTTCCTTTTTGAAGCAAAGGGTGCCATTTTGTGGAGAATCACCCATTTTTCTACAGTATGGGGCATATGTCATATGGACAGAATGGAATCAGAGAAGTTTTGAAGAAAAGTCCCATCCTTTGCACAGGATATGAAAAGATATCAGCTCCTTCATCATGGATTAGGTTTTGTTTCATATGCACTTCAAAGGAAGAACCAGATTAAATTTTAAGATATCGCGGAGCACTAAGGTTTGCTTCTGTCTTCTTTTGATGTTTGTCTTACTCTAAAGAGCACAATGTTTAAAAAGGTCATTTTGTTCTCTTGATCTACAGTTGTCCACATCAGTTTATTCTTTCCGTTCCTCTTATTGCTTCTCAACCCCTCAGATTTTGTTTTGTTTTCTTTTTGAATTTTAAAAAAATAAAAAATTAAATATGGGGCTATTTTAACTCACCCATAATCAATTCAGTTTCCCTTTAATTAGGAAACTGAATGTAATAACTCCCCTATATAATATGGGCAACTTTTAACACCAGTCCATGCACCACATGGATCTCTTCCGGCAGTATTAATAAAATTTTGTTAAGTTACCAATTGAAAAAAAAAAAGTTCAGAATAGGCTTCAGTTATTGATTAATTGGATAATACTGTTAAACAAAGTTATTTTACAGAGTAACTACATGCTTTAACTCTAGCAGGGTTATAAAATTAATCTCTCAGTTTTCTTCATTGTAATAAAGCAGTTGAAAACGTTATGTCTCCAAAAGCGTTCAATGGGAAAGAAAGAACCAATGTTTCAAAAAGCATGTGAAGTGTGTGCCTAGAGCATTTGAATTATGACTCATGCCCCTAAGTGGTGGAACCCCTTGCATTACGTCTCCATGTTCTAAAACATTGGAACGAATCAAAGGGTGTTGTATCACCATTACTTTACCTCATTTAAATCCTTCAAGCTGAAACCAAAAGGTTAGAATAAGGCTTTATTGATTAATTTTGTGAGTTGTTGGAATTTTCTGACTGATTGATGTGAACTTTAGAGCCAAAACTTAACTTGAAAAAAATATAAAAAGGTATACTACTGATCAATGAGCAGAATTGGGTTTGGAAAAGGGTACTAAAAGAATGCTAAAGAATCTTTAGAATTTGTTGATAATAGTTCTTCCAATCTGCCAAAAGTGGTATCTTATTTCCCCAATAGATCCAGGCTTATGGATTTTTCTTCGTACTCAAGTTCTTGGGGCTACAAAACAGGGACAACCCATCCCCATACCCTTAACCCCCAAACCCTGGTCGCAATGGGATTTGATCCAGTCTCTGCTAAAAACAGCCGGAGATCCCACCAACTGACCCACAATCAATTGGTTCAGGTTTATGGATTTGGATGATCATATTTGTTCTTTGAAAAGGTGGATATGTTGTTTGTTTTTCGGTAAGGCGGGGGGGGGGGAGTTGGTCAATGGGAACAATCCCACATTCTTTTTGCAGATTCTTGTAGGACCCACGGAAAAGTTACTTTCCTTGGGTGTCACTAACCTGGTCCTGGTGGGTAAATAACTAACTTGGGTATCACTTGCTCTTCTCCCAGGTGGATAAATAACTTTCCCACCTGGTGGGAAAGTTGCCAGCACATGATGGGACAATATTGTCCCTTCTAATTTTATCTTTTTAAGGATAAAATGTCATTATCTCACTAACCTGGGAAATAAAAGAACACAGGTCCAGGTAAATGGCCAAAAGAAAAACGAATGGGGAGAGGTTCTGAGGTGTTACACTTGCTTATCTTCTGATTCTATGTTGTAAAAATTTTATGATTTATGATATGATTCACAATTTGAATCATGAACCTCAAGGGTTCCAATTTGAATCTTATGCCCAAATCCTTTTCAAAATCATATGATTTTTGTTTGAATCCTACAATTTGATTCATTAATCTTATTATTTATATGATTCCTGTGATTTACTACAATTCAAATAAGTTCAATTAAGGATTAGTTCTCTACTTTGTCATTTTTTGTTTATATTTATTTTTGTCAAGGGAGACTTGTTTTTAAGCCCTTACTAGAAAATGATTTATATACGTTATTTAAGACCAGACATTGAGTTTATTTTCTATTATATGTATTTTAAAGAGCCAATATGTGGATTATTTGACCTTCAAGTCAAACTTGATAATATCATCTTAGGCTTGTATTATTAATATATGTGGTAAATTCTATTGCTTTATGTGCGTATATGGTAGTTATGGATTAAAAATAGGATAAAATCATTTTTCTATACATATTTAACTTTTTCATATATCTTTATTTAATTTTTTAGCAAGTTTATAAAAAATAGAAATAATCTTACGATTTACGATTCCATTAACTTTCTCTACAATTTATGATAGAATTATGATTTTCAGAACACTGCTTCTGACTCAAATTCCTAAATCTACAAAAACTTGGGAGGTTTAAGAAAAACTAACAGGTTTCAATCTTAGAGCCCATGACAGAGTCAAATGGCTAAACAAAACTCATGCATCTGGCCCCAAATAGTTGGGGTATGGCTTTGCTAATTTAATTGGAATTGAACAGTTAAAAATCTTAGAACTAACTGGAATACCATATGAAAACAGGTAATAGGTCAAATAGTAATTAGAACCAGTAATTATCTAGAAACAAATGCAGTGGCCTATGAACTTCATCAGTAAAGAAATATGTATTTACAATTTTACATGTTTCTAAATAAAGTAAAAATACAAACACACGTGCACAATACATTTTTAATTATGTTAAATTCATTCGATACATACACACATACATGTATTTAATTATATTAAATACAAAAACACATACACAATCTATTGTATATAAATGGTGGCTATTAATTAGTTGAAAAAGAAAATATAGTCTCTTTATTACATGCTGCCTGTATGTATCTATAATTTATCAATTTATGTATGTGGAAAGTGAGAAGAGATATAGGTTCTTACATGACCACATGTTAGTTTGCAAGCAATAGCATGACTTGCTTCGTGGAGAAAAACAGTGATGAGCTTGAATGGTGTCAAAAATATTGTCCTCCAAAGCTACAAGGAACCAAACAGAATTAAAATCAAAGAAATGTTAGCAAACAACAAAAACAAATAACACAGCCATAAATTCAAAATCTGATAAGAAGATAGATCGACCGTCTGAAATTTCTTTCCCGCAATCGTTCCATGTGTTAATCCAACTAGATTATGGCTAATATACTTACTGTCCTGGATCTCTGATCTACTGGTAAAGCAAATACAGAATCTCAATATCAAAATATCTAATGAAGGAAAACAAATGTGAAAGCTCCAAACCTCAGAAGGAAGTCCTGAAGCACTTCACATTAAATCAATTACTGTTAGTTTTAACGGCTGCCAATTCTTCAAAAAGTTGTGAATTTAAGCTAACAAGAAAGACTAAGAACATAATGCCACGCCCACTAATGTGAATACAATAACAGAAGGATTATTCGTGAAGAAAATTGTTCAATCAAAACCATTTGCCTTTCTGTAGAACTCCATTTCTAAAATCTACTAGACTCTAGACATATCCAATGGCCCCAACGCACCACCAACTCAAACACAGAATGACAGAAAAGAAAGAAGCTTTTTCTCAAAAATAGGAGTACCCATGAACATGAAAGAAATGAACTAAAACATACCGCGAGGATTGCAACAGTACAGATTCCTACGGTCGTCAGAAACACGACCTGGTCATGCTTACAACAGTTTTTGAGCTCCCAATTCGGCATCCCTAATGCGTATTGTCAAGACACAAATAGACCAATTAAACTATTCCGAGGTCAAATGAACCAAAAGAATGGAAGAATACAGGGAAGAATCAAATGGGTGTCCACGGTAGTTGAGATCTGGTGAACACAGAGAGAGATAGAGAGAGGGAGTTTCAGAGGTTCCTTCCTCCCTTTCTCTCTCCTGTTCTCTATCTGAATGGGCGAAACCGGAACGTTGGTGGAAATGTCAAGCGCCTTATGCCGTGTTTAGAGCTTCAAAATTTTTAATTTCTGTGGGTTCATGTCCGAGACAACTCTCAGGAAGGATTGGCTAAACTGCATTTAGCTTGCTATGCTACTCCATTGAAGTCGTCCTTTCCACTTCAAAGACGAGACCAACGGCAACCACGAGGTCCACGACCCGGCCCGATATCCTCTTGCCAGTAATAAATTTATGGCCCCACCCCAAAAGGTGCGGGTCCCATGTATTTTATTACTGACATATAACAATATCATTGATTTTACAGCCTGTTGAACAGCCAACGCGTTCAACTAATCCTTAGAACTTAGACCCCATACGTTGAGTAAGAGTAACATCATCGACCATGACCACAAGGTCCATAACTCCATTAGGCCAAACGGGTTGAATCTGGAGCGGATCTATTCAATCCATACCTTATCTATTTAGGTCCTGTTTGGTTCGCGGGATTAAGGGTCTGGAATTGAAATCAGAATGGGCTATTTCGATTCCAACTGTCTGATTGGGTAAAATTAGAATTTCATTCTCATTCTTTCTGGAATGGCTTTCTCCCATTCGAGAAAATGACCATTCCTTGCCCTATGAAATCCTATTCCTACTGATTTCAATTTCCATTCTCATTTTTATCTAAACCAAACCTATTATAGGAATGGACCATTCTGATTCCAATTCCGATTCTAATTCCAAGAAAAATGTGCTCGGATATCATACCCGGATCATTTGTAAGGATCCATTCCTAGTAAAAAAAAAGTTTCATGGGAGTTTTTGAATTCCTTTTATTCATGATTACTGTCGGTATTTGGTATCTAAATCTGATGGATAAGATTCAATAAGAAATGAAATATTGTGATCCAATGTATTTACAATCTCCCTAGTCCCTACCTAACAAATTCAAAAGAAAAATACCTCCATGATAGGGTTCATGTCCGGTTTAAATTTTAATCGAACCCCACTGTAAAATTGAGTTCTAATCAGTCGCCCACAACATATCTCCGCCGTATACCGAAAACATCTCCCGATAATAATATCTGCTTTAAACTCCATCGTCTTCACTTGAAGCTAGGGACAAGAATTTCAATTATATGGGGCTTGGCTTAGGGTTTGGGCCCATAAAAAAAAATTGACAAATTCAATCCCAAACACGACCCAAATTGCATCCCTTTATGGATTAAAAGAAAACGCACAGTGGCTTGTGTCTCCAAAGTGAGCCAAAATCTCCTTTCCATAAAAAAAGCTGTATATACAACATCCAATATATTAAATTTATAGGAAGATATTTCTAATGCGTGATTGAATGCTTGTACTCTTGAGTGCACAAGCTTGGAAGAGATCCCATCTTCAACCTTCAGGCATGATTCCACATTAACATTTTCCAACCATAAAAATTGTCGATGATTAAGGGAGTCTCACTCATCATGTTCAACCCTCATAATACAGATAGATACCCTCATACCCATTTGAGTCCAAATCATCTAATTAAATGTTCGTTTGGGAGGGTTGAAGCGCAGCAGCTTTTGGATTTCCATGGCGAATCCTACACAGTCCTTTAAGCTATGTTTGACGAAACATCCAGAGAGCCCACGATGTGGATCTCAAGATTCAAAGTATTAATACGTTCTGGTACGCTGAAAGGGGTGCATCAACCTTTTGAATCTTGTGTATGTATGTTTTTTTAACTCTTTTTTCTTTAGGCTGTTTTTGGTTTAAAAAAAGGTAGGAAAATATTTACAAATCTTGTATAAATTTTTTTATCTTTCCTTCATTTCCTTACATTTTCCTTCAAACCAAATATGGCCTTAGAATAGGTTTTGGAATTGGTTTAATCGAGTGTGCTCAAACCTAACAAATGCTTCAGCTTAATCATTTCTCTAGATCTCTCCCCCTTTTTGTCTATTTGAGGAACAAAGGGACCGACACTCTCTTTTCATTTCAATGACAAAACCAATTAATTTGGAGAGAAATGTGATTGTTAGTACAAAGAGACAAAACTGAGACGTGTGAAAGATTAGTAGGAAAAGAAGGCGACAACGAAGGAAGTAACAAATATCAAATTGGATGGGCCAGGCTAGCCTAAGGCTGTCAATGGTCCAAAACATGATAAAGATACCTCAAGGAACGTATGTTTATTATGATTTACATGATCTACCTGTAATAATTTCATATAATATATGATGTCTAAATTTGCCATATTAGGTATATATATATATATATATATGTTATTTTAAAAAGGAATATACATGTAAAAAGTTTTTAAATGTTGTTCTCGTTTTCCCCACGGTTGTATTTGGTTTGAAGGAAAAAGTAGGGAAAAGAAGGAAAAGGTAAGAAAATCTTTATAAATCTTGTATAGGTTTTCCTAAATTTTTCTTCCTTTCCTTATCTTTTCCTTCAAACCAAACATAGTATAAAGGTTCCATTTTGAAGAAGTACAAATACAAAAATGTAGAGTGCAAAATCTTGTATTTTATATGTATTTGTACTATACATATTTGTATTTGTATTCCTTCCAAATTGAGCCGAAGTAAAGATAAAAAATGCAAAGTTTTCAGAGGCAAATAGTTGGCAGGTTGTTATTTGCTTGCCTTTGTTCAGTGTTTTTAAAACTGATCTAAAAATAAAACGGCTTTACCATTCAAGCGGTAGGTCAGAGGTTCAACCATCCAGCTCAAAATGTCAATCCATAGCATCATAATTATATAAAATAAATAAGTATAAAAGTGTATAAAATTATAGAATATTGTAAAAAAAAGGACATGCCTATTCTAATCGGAATTGGATTGTGTGCAGGGAATTCGAGTTTGAATTCGATTGATTTTTTTGGATTTAGGATTTTAATCTGATTCGGATTGAAGTTACCTATTTCAGCAGTTGAATGGTCACAATTGCTGAATGTAATATCATTAAAACAAAATCTACAATTAGTAATTTTTACTCAAAAGTTTTGAAACAATTCTGTAATCTATAAAATTTAAATTTTTATTTCAAAAATTTTGAAATAATCTATAATTTATTAAGAACAAATGAAAACCTATGGTCAAGAAAGAAAACGGTACATGAGAACTCTATGGTCAAAAAGAAAACCTAGGCGAGAAAAGAATGATGACGGCAAGAAAAGAACGACAACAGCAACTTGGTTGTTGCTAAGAGTGAGAGTTGAGAGAGGAGAGAATGGCAGCAACTTGACAAATGGCAAGGTGAGTTAGGCGACGGAAAGAGAGAAGAAGTGAGAAGAAAATGTCGAATGAGGGTTTAGGATTTTAGGGTTGACCAACTAGGGATTCAAGGAATAGATTTCCTCATTTCCTCAAAATGTCAATCCAGTCCAATATGAGTCCATTACAAATGGACCAGGTCCAATTCAATCCAATAAATATTTTGAACCATTTTGGAATGGTCCAACTCAATGTCTGGACCTTCCAATCTGTTCAAATCCGTTTTAATTTAGATTGGTTTCAATCCAAACCCGATCCATTGACACCTATATTCTTATCTTATATCAATATACTAGATATTGGCGTAATCCAACCCAATCCAATGTAAATATATTCCGGGCCAGGTCCAATCCAATCTAATAAATATTTTAGACTGGATTGATCAATCCAATATGTCTTGTTAGTCCGTCAAACCGGTCCATTTGACACCCTTACCATCAAGGTAGAGAAAAAAGCAAACAGGTATCCCAGTGCAAATACATGGGGTGGGTGGTAATTGGTAGCTTGCTGGAATCTGCTCAAAGAAAAGCGTGTACAGCTGGCTATGTAACCAATTAAGAGTAAACAAACAGGTCCGAGTGATCACTCTTGACTGGTTAAGTAGCTGACTGTACACGTCTTTGTTTATAGCAGACCTGGAGTGGATGGTAGCCTAGTATTTAGAATTGCACTTTTTTGTTTCCATTTGAAAGGGCAGCGCAGCAGCATCTGGCTTTCTAAGGTGGGTCCCACATGGATAGCCTGTAAAGTTCTATTTGGTGAAAAATCCAGAGAGCACTAATCTGCTGTCGCCTGCCCTTCGTGATCTAAAGAGCCCTGCAACTATAGCTTCCCTGTCCCTGGCACTAGCACTGCTTAAACACTATGTCATATGTTATCCAATGGGCGTACCAGATACAAATTAAATTTACACTAAAACTTGAAATATTGATAGAGCACCATTGTACAGGTATCCCAGTATCATATTTATATCTATAGCAGCATCATAGTCTTTTGTTGATAATTTACCAGAAACTTGAATACCAATATGATACAAAAGAGCGCCTCCACTTTTATTGTACAGCACTACTTCCAATGAGTTCTAGTTATGAATACAGACTTCAAGAATTCTGTACAGAAGAAATAAATTAATATATGGATGTCATCTACCTTCATCCACAAAAGAAACAGAGATAGAGTTCCTAGAATAATCCTCGACTACACTACTATTGTAGAAAGCTTAGTCATACCAGTGGTGCTTTCAGTAGCATTAGTGGCAGTGAGAGTGAGAGCAGAAGAAGTGGTAGTCCAACGTCCACCTCGGCCTTGAATCCCTGGATTCCCAGGGTTTGGCAAAGTAAATGAGTCACTTAAAAGCATGAGATGAACAGAATTCATGTCAGGTCTGTCGGCAACACTTGCTTGACAACACAGTAAACCTAGCTGAACACACATCGAAGCCTCATCTGGATTATAATCGGTAAGGGACGGGTCCACTATCTCTAATACCTTGCTTTCTTGAAAAAGTTTCCATGTCTATAAAGGCAGGCAAAGGCATGTAAATGAGAGGGCTTGACGCTTATTGATTTGCAGAAATAGCATTAATTACTAATGAAAGCTTGGTTCATAGACAATGGGAACTAAGATATATAATATGTAATATATGATGTTTTCTTGGTTCTGGTCATAAGTTGTAAACATATTTCTTCTGGCACAAGCACAACCTATTGATCTATGCCATGCAATCAATAAGATATACTGGATAGTTCAAACCCAAATTTCTCACTAATTGTAATTGGGCAATCTTAACCAGTGAATACCAATTTTTTACTAGATGGACATATTAGGGAAAAGTAATCTATTATAATTTGAAGGGGCTAGAAAAACTAGTGGCAG